AGGGCATTTGAAGGTCAAATTGCGAATCGACCCGTTAAAAAATTTAAAAAAAATTCATAATATATTTTTGGGATTCCTGATTCCAAATCCAATCTTTTTTGAACCTTAATATGTCAGAATCAAGGTCAAACGGAGGTCAAATCATTCAAATCGGATGATACAATATTTTTGACTCCAGATTCTGAAAGAGCGGAAAATTTTACGTCCGAATACGTAGTAACTTTTTTTTTAAACCGACTTCTGTAGGTCGCGTTGCGGTTATCCAAAATAAGACTTAGATATCTATTTTTGGAATCTGTTGGCAGCGGTTTTTTCCATGTGTTTGCATCCAGGACACCTCCTCGTGGTGACGGCGGGCAACGGAGTTGTCTCGCTATCCGGCAAAGTTCCTGGGTCATGATGCTCATGCCGTCATGGCAAACACACCGGAAAAACTTACGATGCAGGGGTCGGAACCCCAGTATCGGCGGCTGGTCAGGGTGAGAAAGCGGGCCCGCAGGCGTCGTCATCATGCGACCGTAGCTTTGTTAAGGTGGCTAACTTGGCCTTACCAAAGTATAAAGCTACATGTATAGCCAGAACCTCTAGACATGAGCATGACAACCCGGAAAAACCAAATTATTTTTGTTACGTTTGTGCTGCATACGCATCACCATATAGCCGGAAAAATATCACTCGTGCTGTGTGTACTGCATACAGTTATTGTTTTTCATCAGAAATATTGAATCAAGATGAGAATTGGGTTCCACATGTCGTTTGTCTGCGCTGTCATAAAATGTTGCTGACATGTTATATGAAAAAGGACCTTTCAAAGTTGGAATACTCTGTATCAGTCACATGGAATATGCCAGAAGCAAAACAAGACTGTTTCTTCTGCAATACCATTACTCACGGATACAATAGGAAAAATAAATCAAAAATCAAATATATTTTTACCGATAAAGTAATTCCAGCTGTTTTGATTTCAAAAAATAGTGGTAATGCCAAGAATCCTGTTGTAGACGTCCTGGCCAATGAAGAAATAGGTACCGAAGAAGTACAAACAGAGGAAAGTGACAGCGAGATAGACAGACAAAGGAAGTGAAAGTGACGAAAACCAGGATGAAAGGAATAAGGAGCCTGCAAAATTTACGCAGAATGAATTGAGTAACTTAGGAAGAGAGTTAGGACTTTCAAAGGAAGCTCATGAACTTTTGGCTTCAAGGCTGAAACAAAAGAATCTTTTGGAAGAAGGTGTAAAGATTTCAATTTATAGGAACAGAGACCAAGAGTTTCAACGTTTCTTTACTAAAGATGATACAGTGGGATTGGTGTATTGCAATGATATCAACGGACTTATAAATAGTTTCAAAGTTAATGTCTACAAGCCGAATGAGTGGAGACTGTTTATAGATTCTTCTATTCGCAGTTTGAAAGTGATATTGCTCCACAATACGAATGTACTGGCTCCAATACCCATAGCTCACTCTACACTTCTCAAAGAATCTTACCAAAATATGAAAATTGTTTTAGAAAAAATCAATTACAAAGAACATCAATGGAGAATCTGTGGTGACCTCAAAATCATTGGAATTCTTCTTGGGATGCAGAGCGGGAATATTAAAAACCCTTGCTTCTTGTGCCTTTTTGACAGCAGGGATCGTCAAAATCACTACATCAAAAAGGAATGGCCAACGAGAAATTCTCTGCAGCCTGGATCGTCCAACGTCATTCAGCCGCCTCTTGTAGATACACTGCCGGCCAAAAGTTTGGAAACAGTGTTGAAAAAATATGTATTCATGAATTAATTAGGAAATTTATTGATTCACTTGTTTGAAACATAGTATAACAACAAAAAATGTATATTTTACAACAAGAAAAAATATATCTAGACAACAAGAAAAAGTGTATCTAGACATAAAAAGAAAAATACAAAAGTCTATAAAGAAAAGGTATTAATATATCAAATTTTTTTTCATCAAAAAATCCACCCTTGCTTTTGATGACTGCTCTCACCAACCGTGGCATTCTTTCGATAAGTTTGTCCAAAGTTTCCTGTTCCAGAGAAGCCCACGCCTCTCTTAGCTTCTCCCATAAGTCTCCAGCGGATGTTGGACAACATGTTCTTATTTTTCGATCGAGATCTTCCCACAGAAGTTCGATCGGGTTGAGGTCTGGCGATTGCGGCGGCCATGTCATATTTTCCAAGACACCATCAGCTTTTTTTTGCTCTAAATAACTGCGGCAGAGGATCGACGTATGTTTTGGGTCGTTGTCTTGCTGGAAGACAAAACCACGGCCGGGTCCTCTTAATCCAGAGGGAATCGCATGACGAACGAGAATATTTTTATATTGCTCTTTTCTCATTATTCCATCAATTTTCACTAAATCTCCGGTTCCATGGCCAGAAAAACATCCCCACACCATCACTGAGCCACCTCCATGCTTCACAGTAGGCACTATACACTGAGGTGTCATTTTTTCGGACGCACTTCTTCTCACATAAATTCTACGTCGAGAGCCAAATATTTCATACTTGGATTCGTCACTCCAGAGCACATTTTTCCATTGATCCATCGTCCAGTTTCGATGCCTTTTAGCCCATTGTAGTCTTTTCTTTTTCTTCTCTTTACATAGTAATGGTTTTTTCACTGCAACACATCCTTTAAGTCCGGCAGCGTTTAATCTTCTTTTTACAGTTGTTAGTGAAACCGGTTTTTCACGACTTCTGTTGATGTCTGCGCATATTTCGGGAGCTGTTAACCGTCTATTCCGTTTACTGGTAACCACTATATGCTTACCTTCGCGAGAAGTAGTTACTTTTGGACGTCCGGTTCGAGGACGATCGTGATGATTACCCGTGTCTTCAAATCTTTTGATCGTTGAATGCACACCTTTCAATGAAATTTTCAATTTTTTGGCAATTTCACGATATGAGATACCTTCATTATGTAATGCCAATACAGCTCCCCTTTTTTCAAGTGGAATTTCTTTACGTTTTCCCATGACTGAGCCGTATAATATAAATATGTAAGCCAAAACTTTTACAAATTCCTAAATAAAAAAAAATATTCGAGACAACTTAAAGACGCTTACAGTTTTGACTCAAATGAGGGAAATCAAATACAAGACTTATAAAAAAACAATACTGACAAACCAAAGTAATATGGATAAAAGTTTAAAGCCAAAAAAGGAAACAAAAGTAGAACATCACAATAAATTTCTCATCGATAATAAACTCTCATATCGTCAATATTATGAAAACAAACGGACTGGCAAAAATTCTAAGTTCATACTACTTTTATCTAAAACCTTAACCCTCAAGTTACCTGGAAAGGCTTGATTCTGTGTCATTATGAGCAAAAAATACTTTTTTCGAGGCAAAACTCCTGGAAAAATACATATTTCGAAATCCGAACGAAGTGTTTCCAAACTTTTGGCCGGCAGTGTACATTAAAAATTTTAATTCCTCCACTGCATCTCAAACTTGGTTTCATGAAGCAATTTGTCAGAGCTCTAGATAAAGATGGAGATTGCTTTAGATATATAGTGAAAAAAATGCCCAAACTCAGTGAAGCCAAGCTAAAGGCAGGCATTTTTGATGGTCCACAGATCCGAACGCTCTTCAATGATCCCAATTTTACATCTCAAATGACAAATTTAGAGAAAGCGGCATGGACTAGCTTCCATGCAGTTTCTAAGTATTTTTTAGGGAACAATAAAAGTCCGTATTATAAAAAACTAGTAGGTGTTATGATTGAAAACTATAAGAATTTAGGATGTAATATGAGCATCAAATTGCATTTTGTAGACTCTCATCTCGATTTCTTTCCAGAAAAATTAGGTGATTTCAGTGAAGAGCATGGAGAGAGATGTCATCAAGACATGAAAGATATGGAAAAGCGCTATCAAGGAACATGGGGTATAAATATGATGGCAGACTACTGCTGGAATTTAAAACGAGATATAGAAACAGTTCCAGTAACACCTAAAAGAAAACCATTACGTAGATCGTTTGAACAAAAGCAAGTCCGTTATCACAAACGGACATTAAATTAAACGGACATTACGATGTAGTAAAAAGGATTAGCTTCGTGATCAGTGACTCAAAAAACATGAAGATCAAATGTCTAAACAACCAGAATTCTAATCTGCGTTCAATGTTCCGGCCAAAACTAGATATCCAAGTCTTATTTTGGATAACTGCAACGCGACCTACAGAAGTCGGCTTAAAAAAAAAGTTACTCCGTATTCGGACGTAAAATTTTCCGCTCTTTCAGAATCTGGAGTCAAAAATATTGTATCATCCGATTTGAATGATTTTACCTCCATTTGACCTTGATTCTGACATGTTAAGGTTCAAAAAAGATTGGATTTGGAATCAGGAATCCCAAAAATATATTATGAATTTTTTAAAAATTTTTTAACGGGTCGATTCGCAATTTGACTTTCAAATGCCCTTAACCCTGACGTGATGGAGTCAAACGGACCCCGGATTCGGATTCAGCGACCTCAAAAACATAAAGAACATACAGTCAGATATCGGGGAAAATAATTTCATTTTTATTGTGGAGCTGTGTTATCGATAACGATATTTTTTATTTTTTATGAGAAATATACTAGTACAATAATAAATAATTATTTTTTCGAGAACTACAATTAGACATACGTGAGATGTGATCATTTTTTTTTATAAAATGTTATTTGTGTCTTGTTTTCGCATCGGTGTTGGAAAGAAGACATCGGAATTAAAATACCAAACATAAAAGCGAATACACGTATACTCATACGTGTTTAACGAAGCGGTGGTTAGTTCTGCATTGTGGGAGTTTGTTTTCTAATAAATCCCGTTTGTACTAGCTAATCTACCCCGTTACAGATTATAAAATTAAATAATTAGTACTTTTTGTATCTTATATTTTAATTTAAAGACATATTTTTAATTTTCGGAATGTTGTTGCCTATGAAAATTTTAATCAGTCAATTACCTTTGAATGTTAATTCTAAATATAATGTTTCAGGTTGGCTGGTTGAGAGCTTCAGATAAAATGATAATCTCATTCAATACGAAAACTGTAATCCAAAATGATCGTATTGCTGTGAAATACGAGCCTCTCGTAGATAGTCAAGAAAGTAATGAATTATTAAGTCATAAAAACAGTAGCAATTTATTACAAGCTACGAATACTATTAACGGTACATGGCGGTTATTAATTCGTCATCTGAAAGAAACGGATAGAGGTTGTTATATGTGTCAAATCAATACAAGCCCTATGAAGTCCCAACTTGGCTGTTTGGATATACTTGGTGAGCTTATGATTACGTTTGAATTGCTAGATTCTAAATAATTATTCTATGTTCATACTGGCGGATGACGTTACTCATGCAATGGGATCTGGTAATTAATACATAGGGGGTATTTATCTCACGATTTATTATGTATAGATTGACCACCGGCACTATCATTTATCTGTCCCAATATTAATAAGAGTTCGACGTGCAAGTAGCGTGAGTATCTATAGTGTGTAGCAGATATAGCAATGGGAATAAACAAATGACAATAAGTTGATAGCGAGAATTAATTATTATTTATACGAGGGGGAGGTTGGAGGGGGGTCAATAAGACTTTACAAAAAGAAGGAAAAAAAAGTTTTGCGTATGTAATTTTTTTTTATTTTTCAATATAATCTCCTTGAAGGTCGATACATTTTATTAAACGACCTTCCAGTTTTTTTAAGCCATCAGAAAAATATGATTTCTGAAATCCCTCAAAATAGGCATTTGTTTCGGCGATGATTTCTTCATTCGAAGTGAATCGCTATCCGTCAAGCCATTTTTTGAGGTTAGGAAATAAGAAAAAGTTACTGGGAGCCAAATCAGGCGAATATGGTGGATGGTCAATTAATTCGAACTTTAAATCGTTAATTTTTGCCACCGAAACTGCACACGTGTGAACTCGAGCATTGTCTTGAAGAAAGAGGCATTTTTTTTGTTCAAGTGAGGACGTTTTTCTTTGATCTTTTCTTTCAGTTAACCTAATAATGATGCATAATATTGTCCAGTGATCGTCTGGCCCTTTTCCATGTAGTCGATGTAGATGATTCCATACACATCCCAGAAAACCGTGGCCATAATCTTGCCAACTGACTTTACTGTCTTTGCCTTCTTTGGGGCTGGTTCTCCTGCGGTAATCCATTGTTTGGACTGTTCTTTGGTTTCAGGAGTGTAGTAGTGTACCCATGTTTCGTTTAGGTACAAGTCGACGCCAAAAGTCTTTCGGATTACGACGTCTGCGTGCCAAAAGAACATCAGAAGTGACCACGCGGGTTCGTTTGTTTTCAACAATAAGCAAACGCGGCACCCATCTTACTGATATTTTTTTCATCCCCAATTTTTCATGTAAAATTGAAATGATTGTACCCTTTGATTCCACTGTGGCTTCAACTAATTCTCGCAATTTTAATCTTCTATCACTCAATCTACCATATCTATCATCTATCATACCATATCATATCTATCATAATCTACCATATCGTGGATTTTGTTGACCATTTCGGGCGTACTCACTTCTACGGGGCGTCCTGAACGAGGTTCATCTTTTGTTGTTGTACGGCCGCGTTTAAATTCATTTACCCAGTTATAAACAGTCTTAAACACAGAGGCAGACTTGCCATGAACGGCGTTCAACTCAACTGTGATTTCTTTTGGTGTAAGGCCTTTCAAATAAAAATGTTTTATCATCGCTCGAAACTCTGTTTTTTCATTTTTCAAATAAACCAATAACTTTTTGTTCAATGAACGCTCACAAAAAAACGACTTAATGAATCGAGCTGAAACTTTGTACGATATCTAGCTTGTCAAAAACATCATAATTTAAGCGTGACGAGCGCCATCTCTTGGATTTTGTAAAGACTTATTGACCCTCCCTCGTAGCTTCAACAGCGGCACTACGTACAGATTGGCCAAACTAGTTAGCTCGGGAATAATGTGATGGCATAGCGTAGCCTGAGTCCATATTACGCAGGGCCGTATAGCGCTAGACTATAGTAGATAACTTGGTGAAGGAGGGATAATGCTAGCGCCAGTGAGTTAGAGATGTCAAGAGATTTCTAGAGAAAGGCACAGTCGTTCGATTGTCGATTCTGTGACTAATCGAGGCTGTCTTAAGAGGTTACAACAGTCTCAGTAGCGCTACCTTCTCCTATTTTATTTACTAGTAATAAATGAAATAATCCGATACTACATTTCATATATTTATTTGATATAATTGAATATTATTTATATAAATTATAATATATACATAGAGTATGAAATATTCTGTTGATAATCTTTATGTTCGGTTGTTGACATGGTATAGCAAAGTATTTAGCTAAATTTTATATAAACTTTCATCATTATCATTCTATTCATCGACTATGTCAATTGGTACGAATATTGTTTGTTGTTGACGTTGAATCAACCATTTATTTATATTGTAAACGTTTTTCATTACATACAAAATTGTTACTAGTATTTTGATTATGTAGTATACATAAAGTTTAAAAGTTTAATTAATCTTGATCAATGGTATACATCTCATTTCTGATTCAACGTCTATAAGTTATTCATCAGGAAATATTTGTTTTAACCATTTCATTTTTTCAAGTATCTTCGTATAAACATTTTTACCATGAAAATAGTTCTGTGAAGTCTCTGTTAATTTAAAGTGTCGTATAGTACTCAAAATTCATAGCATACCTGTAATAGATTTATAAATTATGTAATAGTTGGTTAAATAAATAGATTATTTAAAGCTGTAAAAGAAATTTCATGACTTTCTGCGAAGCTAACCGCTACTTCGGTCCACACTTGGTAGGCTCGCGGCTGTAAACGAGGTGAAATCATGAAGCAAAATGATAGTTGAGCAAAATAAAATCAGATTATTTACTGTGACCGTGAATTAGTAGGAAGTTAGGTAGGCAAACGTAAGCCATGATATTAAATAAAATAAAATATTCGATTTTTATTTCATTTCCTAGCAATAACTATACATAAAAGGATTCGCAGCTACGAGATTTAAGTACATGCAAACATCAACAAGCAGTCAAACTTGTTGATCGCGACGAGTGAAAATTAAAGAAAGAAAGAGAGAGATGAAAACAAACGTAAGTTAGTGTAATGCGAGATGCACGCATAATCAAAGCACTTACAAAACAAACAACTTTCACCTACGCGTTTTCCTGAATCGTTGCTACAGACAACGATGCGCAAGTGGCTTGTCAATCATACGAAAGATGAAAGTGTTGGTAGGTAAGTCGCTGGTCTTCTCTTGCTGTTCGTAGCTTCCGGAGAGTGACGATTCCGACGATGAGTTCTTTGATCTTAAAAGTACAGAGTGTTCAGCGTGTAATTCAACTTTAATTCATTTATTATTATAGTGAAAATGTAAGAAAAGAATTACGATGATAACATTTCTCGAGCCAATGTTTTCGTTTTTATATTTTCAAGGTTTTTAAGCCAATAGTCTGGTGGTTTCAAAGAGAGCATACAAGATCGAGAATTCTAATCTCCCACAGTTGAGAAAATAAGCTCCTTCCAAGTAAAATTGTATTTCAGACTCTCCTAGTTTTGTACATCTATAACACAGTCATGATCTATAACACATCAATCTCACAGTTTTTCATATGTGTCCAAGGCGTTACATATCATAATTTATTATGCACAGATTCATTAGTGTTTTCTATATAAGTACTGGTTAAGTCCCCCCCTCCCCCACACAATTTTTATAATTTCAACTAACACTTCAGTAGCGCCGTTAACAATTGAATCTTTAATTTTTTATATCCTGATAATACAAGTAATCTTCCCAGGATAAGCAGTGTCATAACCGCTACTTACAGCGATCGTCATCCTCCATAGAAAACAAAGGCTAATTGTAAACTGCGCAGTTTTCTAAATTATTCAATTGAGACACAGTTAGCGTTTTATCTCTGTGAAAAACAGACGTGTTTTCACTGTGCTCTACTCGACAAGTATTAGTCAATCAAGTAAAGTAACAGATAAATCAAATTTACTGTTAAAAAACACATTAAAACCAAAGTAACGGCTAAAATAGTCTCTTATTCAAGCGACACATTGTCTAGTCTTACGCAGAACATCGAAGAATGGATATCCATTAGAAACAAAAGACAACAAAGTAGCCTAAAAAATCAACTACAAAACAAGAAATTAAAAACCCACTTGTTACATTACTGATTAAGCCAATCAACAAACAAATAGAAGGTAATACTGGAAAATCAAAATGAGACTGAATAAGAAGTGAACACGGTTAAAAATAAATCTCCGCCAAATTTAATATAGAACGTAGAAAATATCAGCCCACTAGAAAATCTGTTCAACTCAATAGCTAAAGATGAATATATATTCAATAAGTCAATATTATATTCAAATGGTATAATCATAAGGAATAGTGTATATATAACAGAGGGCAAGTGAAGCACTTTATTCAAATTTCGAATTATATATACGTATTCATGTTTGTATACAACGAAGCATGATTATAATAAATTATATCATAATAAATTATATCTTTGTGACCGTTGTCTACACTATTTCCAATATAAAGGAAAGCTTAAAAGTCATGAGACAGACTATTTGAAAGTAAATACACGTGCGATTGAATTACCTGAAAACAATGTTGATAGATTCATAAATTCTAAACAATCATAAAAGGTTCAATTGCTTATAAACGCTGATTTTTAATGTTTCTCAAAATCAATCAATAATCACCATATACTCCAAGAGTATGAAAGAATGAAAGAGTGTATTTGAAGTATAATTTTGTTGACTCAAAATCGATGTAAGTAACACATAGCAGAGAGGTGAAAATGAGATACCATTTCAATAAATTTCTTAATGGATTATAAAGCAATCAAGATATTGTTAGCACATTGTGACAAGTATATGAGAAGAAATTGCCCAATAGCCAGCTGAGGAGCCAGCTAACGTACGGCTCTCAGCCAAGTGTTGGCACGTGTTGGCATCTCATCTATCTACCGATTTCAGTTGCTGTATCCGTAAATCGAGTATCTTTCAGAGTTAGTACAGGAATCAATGAAGCATCCACAGAGCTACTATGAACTGCGGAAACACATCTTGAGCGAAGGCTACCTTGCCGTATGCCTTCTCGGTGACCTTTGTATGCACGGCAACATTCTTGCGATCCTATGCATCAAGGAATCTGATTATTACGAATAGCTAATTGTATGGTTGTAAGTGATAAATCAAACTTATTAAACTTCTCTGCGACATCGTGTACTGCATTGTGC